CACTCTATATTCCTCTCTGGGCACTCTCCTTCCTCTCCGTATCGCACTTTCCCTCTGGGGAACATACCCAACTGCTGCCCACTCATCCTGCTCTTCTGAGCACCAGTGAATCTGCTTACCTGCCCAACGCCCCCATGTGGGAGTTGCAGTATTATCCCTGGCTTACCATGGCTAAAATGGGGATTCGTCTTCCCCCTGGGCCAAATTTTTCCTCTGGGACTTCAGGCTCTGCCAGTGGCACCTCTCAGTCCCCACCCTGCCTGTAAATCACTTTGGATTCTGGTTTTTTCCTCTCCCCAGCCTTGTCCCGTCACTAACTCTAGGCAGCCCCCGCAAGCCGTGACTCCCGGTCACCTTTGGCTCTGCACCTGCACCACGTGCAGCAGTGCAGCCCTTCTAACCGGCCGCCCGACTGCCGTTCCTGCTGTCAGCCTTCCTTCAGATTCTGTGCGCAGCGTCAGGTTGATTTCTGTAAAGCATTGCATCTAAGTCATGTCAGATTTCACTCCCTTCAGGATTCAAGCCAAGCCTCAGCCCTCATTCAGAGTCCTTCATTGGCTGTTCCCAGCCCTCTCTTCACAGTTGTACTTACATCCTGCTCCAATTGCGCTCTTCTATCCACCAGTCTCTGAACGTAAAAGTTTTCTCTCTGGTCCTTCCCATGTAGTTCTCACCTCTTTCCTGCAACCTCTACCCTTCCAAATCCTTTCTATTTTTGAGGTGTTCTGCAACGCTTTTCCCCATGATGGCTTCTCTGGTCGCCCCATCCCAAAGAGTTCAATCCTTCTGCAGAACAACCAGAGTCTGTCTTTATCTCTCAATGCCTTTAGGGGTCCATGGACCAGCAGCACAGGAGCTTGTAAGAAATGCAGACTCTCTGGCTCCACCTGGGAGCCATGGAATCAGAATCTGCATTTCAGCAACATGCCCAGGGGATTTGTGTGCACATTTGAGAAGCGCTGAACGGTGCATTCACGGAGGACAGGAGCTTGCTTTTTTTAAGGAATGGTCTTCAGCCAGGGCTGGTGGTGTTCTCAAGTGTCAAGTCAGGTGACAGGTGCCACATCTGGCCAGCTCCCGTGAGCTTCGAGAGGCATTGGATAGTAGAGATGGCCACGGAGCAGGCATACTCTGCCTGGACCCTCCCCACTGGGACTCTATGTCCCACAAGGCCCCAGAGCCAAAACTCTGTAAATCTGACTCCGGAAAGCACTCTAGCAACACGAGGAGGAATCAATTGATCAATAAAAAAGCTGTTATCGAGCATACAGCAGAACATTTCCCCCTTCACAAAACATACAGTGGTTAAAATGTCTGTTATTTTAATGTATATTTTGCAAGGAAAAATGCACATTTAGTGTTTCCTTTATGACAACATTGATATAGTTTCTAAAGAGATAACTTTAGAAAACACAGTATGTCACATGAAGAAAATAAAAATGACTCATAATTCTACTCCCCAGCTATAAATACTATTATTTTCATATTAATTATAGCTTGCCATTCACTCATTCATCAAATATTTGCAGAGCCCTACTACGTGCCAGACCTGTGCCAGGCACTGGGGATTTGGGGTGGAGAAGACAGCATGGTTCCTATTTCCAAGCAGCTCACATCCAGGGGAGGCTGTGGGAGGCAGACACTGAACACGGCAGTGCGCTAGTTTCCTAGGGCAACTGTAACAAAGTGCAACTGACTAGATGGCTTAAACAACACAAATTTGTTTTCTCACAGTCATGGAGACCAGAAGTCCAAAATCTAAGTGTCGGTAAGGTTGGTTCCTTCCGAGAGCTCGAAGGGAGACGGTTCCCTGGGTCGCTCCTGGGTCCCGGTGACAGCTGGCTGTCTTTGGCATCCCTTGGCTCGTGGCTGCATCGCTCTAGCCTCTGCCTCCATCGTCACATGACGTTCTCCCTCTATGTCTCTGCCTTCACACGACCGGCTTTTTAGGAGGACATGAGTCATATTGGATTAAGGACCCGCTGTACTCCAGGATGACCTCAGCTTAACTAAGAAGATCTGCAGTGACCCCATTCTGAGGTCATATGCTGGGTTACCAGGGTTAGGACCTCAACGTTATCTTTTGTGTGGGGACACAATTCAAGCCGTAACAAGCAGAGACAGTACAGAGTCTGGAAGACTCTCCTAGGAAATGACATCCAGGCTGGGGCTGAGCAACGCGTAGGGACCAGCCAGGCAAAGGTGGTGCAACACACATTGGGGGCCTCAGAACGTGAGGGTGGAGGCTGGCTGGAGAAGAGCATTCCAGGCAGTTGACAAAGTGACACTTTTGAGGAACTGAAAATAAGGCCAGAGTGACTGGAATACAGAGGAGGGGTGAGAGCATGGGGTGACCTGTGCCACTTGGCCTGTGGGCCTTGGTGAGGGGTTTTTACTCCCTCCTGCAGGCAGCAGGGAGCTGCGGGGGGCTGTCACTCAAGAATGACTCATTCTTCTTTGTGAGCTGTCTCCTCACAAGACCAAGCCGTCTGAGGGCTGTGTTGTTCCTCTCTGTCCCCAGTTCTGAGGGAAGGAGCATGGCCATGTCCTCAGGAGCCCCCCGGCTCAGAGGAGACACATGGCAGCTCCCTCCAAAGACTGAAGGCACAGCCGTGCCCCCAGAAGCCCCTAGTCCAAGGGAAGGGGTGGACAAGCCCTGCCCTCAGGAACCTCATTCTGAACAGGACACAGGGCTCTCCCATCTCTGGGACACAGGTTTGGGCCTGGCCACCATCAAATATTTACCCCACCCCCGCTCTGTCATGACGACTGTGTCTCAGAATGTGTTCAGGGCAAGCGCATGACCCATGTGGGTCCCTGAGGCCGGAGGCCCCAACGCTGGGGAGACCAGGGCTTGGGTCTTGCAGGGGACCGCTCTTCAGCACCCTGTTCTCTCCAAGAATGTCTGGAAACTGCCTTCCTAGGCAGGACGCAGCGTCTCTGATGCTCAGCCCATCCCTGACCACACACTCGGAGGGCTGCCCCTCTGCTGTGTATGATGGGAGGGGGCCCCTGAGCCCAAAGCTGCCTGTCCGCCTTTGCCTGGGCTGGGTGGGCCAGGCTGGGTGGAGGAGAAGTGGGTCAGCTCGGTAGCCATGGTGACAGCAGCTGCTCCCTGCCAGCATTCTCATCTCACCACAAACCTCACCGATGAGCTCCTTTGTCCAGCCTGCCGGGATGGGGGCCCGGAGGGTGAGATTGGGGGCTGGAACGCGTGAGTGTGAGTGTGTGTTCAAGCTCACACGCGTGCCTGCTCAGAGACGGTGTGTGTGCGTTGGCCAAGGGAACCCGCAGATGCAGGTGCAACACTTCCCCGTTCCCGGCCCACTGAAGGGATGGGCTCTTCCTGCCTCTTCGGGCTGGACAGGGCTTCCGGAAGGGTGTGTACGTGAGCGTGTGGGGGTGTGTGGGGGCCTGTGGCTGTCAGTGTGGCCGCTTCTGTGTGCCCTTGTGTGGCTGAGTATCTCAACAGTGCGTGTGCATATCTGTGTGCATGCGATTGTGTCTGTAAGTGTGTGTCATCTGTGTGGGTCTGTGTGGTGTGAGATCACACATTTGAAACCCCGTGCCCCGGGCTCCGCTTGTGTGTGAAGTGTATGTGTGTGTGTGTGTGTGAGCCTGCTGTGGGGGCGATAAAGGCTGCACCATCAGGAGAGGAGCTGGCGCCGTGTTCCCCACTCAGGCTGGGCGTGTCCCTTCAGCCCAGTCAACCTCTCCCCCGACGTGCCAGGCTTGTCACCCACCAGTATGTCCCTGAGGGGGAAAGGAAATCCTAGGAACAAGGGAACTCATCTCGCCTTCTGTGGTTGCAGGCACTGGCCTCTGCCAGGGGCCCAGTGTGGCATGGGCCGTGCGGTGGGCAGCCCTGGTGCTGGGGCGGGGGTCGGGCGGGGGGCACAGATGCCAGGCCCAGCATCTGGTCAGGGGCAACGGAGAGCAGAGCCTCACAGGGCAGCTCCCAGCCCAACTGAGAGGTGCAGATCCCACACTTCTCATCCTGGGCTCTGCGGGGACACACCCAGAGCTGGAGTGGGAAGTGACCCTGTAAGTCTCTGCGCCTTCTCATGAAGTGGCTGCACCTGGGATGTAACGCAGTCCCACCCATACCGTTCTTCACCATTTGCAAAAGGCGCTGCTATGAGTAGTAATAATGTAATTCCCCAAGTGAGCATTTAGCACATATCAACCCTTATTTTTTAATATTTCATCTAAGAATTCTAAGGCTGTCATTATTATTCCCACTTTAGAGATGAGGAATGGTAGGCTCAGGGGGTTTGTTAGGGAAATTTCCCTGCGTCTCATAGCTTATAAGTGGCAGATCTTGAAGTAAGTCTGTCTGCCTCCAAAGTCTGGGTTTCTAATCACTGTGCATTTCTGCTCCGCATCATCTCATCTGCTCCCCAGTCCAGCCCGGAGGGGCTGGCTTGTCCAGGTGGCCAGCCGGGGTATTTTATAGGAGAGAAGATGGAGGTTCAGAGAAGTTAAGTGACTTCCTCAGGGTCACATGGCTGGGGGTGGAGCCAGGACCTCCCCCCCAACATTGCTGAGTGTTAGGCATGTCACAGAGCATCTGGGGAGGGACACAGACCCCATTAGTCAAGGGGAGCACAAAGGAAGGAAGAATAGTGTCTAGAGCCAATGAGCATTTGCACCTCGATGAGTCCTTCATGTGTTAAAAGTCTTAAAGTTGTGGGTGGAGCTTCAGCACCACCAGCTTGAAGTTAAAAGTTCCTACAGGCTCCACGGGGGACCCAGGAGTTTGGACAATTTTATGAAGGAGAAAACAGAGAATCAGAGAGTTGAAATGATTTGCTCAAGGTCATATCGCTATGTCCAAAGTCTGTCCTTTAACCCCATAAGCTACTGGAAGCCCTTGAGGACAGATATCTTCTCTAGCCCCCTCTCTAAGCTCTCCTCTTTCCTTCCAGAGTCTTATCACATCACCTCCTCCTGGGAGCTACCCTGATTGCCTTCAACTCTTTTCCTGAAAACGGGTGTCTCAAAAATTGCCGGAAGCCTGAGTCAATGCCCTAGGGGAGTGCGGCTGGGAGGGGCACAGCCCCTGTGATGTGGAACACCACACTCAGATTCATCAGTTCGGTGAGTTTGGGTTTTCCTCAAGGTGAGAGGTGAGGAGGAAGCATCTGACAGGTGGTATGGAATCTGGGAGTTAGGAGACTTGGGTCAGAGCTCTGATTTTGTCGCCAACTTTCTATGTGACCCTGGGAGTGTCTCCCATTCTAGGCTTGATTTCCTGCCCTGCAAAGGAAAGGCTCAGGCTGGAATAGGGATAGCAAATCAGTTTTAACTCCTGAGCTGGTTCTCATCACCTGGGTCTGGAGCACAGTGTTGAAAGGGATTCTGAGGTTAAACCTGCATCGATGAGAAAAGGAGGGATTAGTGACATCTGCTGTGGGTGGGTGTTTGGGAAAGGAGGTAAGCGCTGCAGTTATTTGCCATCTCTTTCAGACTAACAGCCCATCACCCTGTGACAGACTCCTTGGTCTTTCCTGTTGAAGGGTGGGCGGCTCTGTTTATCTCATTGACTTTCAAAAACAAAAGCTTGTTTATCTGGTTAGACATATGGCCAAAGGGACCAAGGGGCCCAGGATGGCTTGGCAGAGCCCTGAGACCTGCTGTTGTCAGGATTCAGAGGAGGGTTTAGGGAGCCCTGAGGGCACAGAGACCTCAGGGCAGAGGCCAAACATCAGGGACTGGAAAGAAAAGGCTTGTTCCCTGGGGAGCTTGGAAGGTATCTGCTGGTGTGGAGCTTTGCGGGGAGCAGGGCAGCAGCCGGGGCAGCAGCTTCCTCCCTTGAGGGTAGACCTGAGCTGTCATTTGTAGATGCATTTGCAGCCATAGAGTAGGGTCAGCAGGGAGACGCTGACGGTGAGGTCCCCAGGCCCCAGTGAGATCGGGGGAGAGTTCCCTTCCTTGGGGTGCCCCAAACAGGGCTGGGAAAGGGACAGTCCTTCCCAGAGGCAGGAAATGGTTGAAGGATCTTTGTGGAAAGGCTGTCATTCATTTAGTGATCTTTTAGAACCACCGGAATGTGAGGTGCTGTGTTCTGTGTCCTGCTGGTGTCTCTCCACCTCTTGCCTCTTTCCCGTCCCTCTGGTCTGATGGCTCAGGGGTTACTATGTAACGGGGCTTTCATCCTCATAGGGGCCAGGTGGTCAGCTCTGCCTGTCTTTCCGTCTTGTCATTGTTGAGCTAGACTGGCTGCCAGAGAAGCAAGCAGAGCCCCAGTCCTGAGCATGCCACTGCCTATGTGTTCACAGACTCTGCTCTCCCAGGCAAAAGGGCTTTTAGAGATCACCTAGTCTGACCTCTTTGTTTTACACACAGATAAGGAAACCAAGGCCCAGAGAAGGTAATACGAGGGATCTTTATACATTCTAACCCCACCTCCTGATTCTTAATTCTCCTGGCTGCCTACCCAGGACTCTTGTACTAGGGGTCAGGCCCTATTACCTTGGGTCCAGTGCTTTGGGTCTGGCTCCTCCTGTCCCCTTGGGGATGGCAGGCCTGACTGTCCCTCCCAGGCACTCATCAGCTCTCCAGGCCTCCTGGGTAGTTAAAGATGAGAGTGGCTCTGGATGGTGCCGAGTCCTGGATGTCAAACCATCCGCTCATCAGTGCCATTTATTATTCATGAGGAAATATGAGTCCCTGGGTTGGCAGGGTCAGGAATTTTGTCCCTCACCCTCTTGCCTTCTTGTTCCCTGGGAGTGGTGTTCTTGAGTGTCCTGTAGTCTGGCGGCTCTGGGGCAGTTTTCTCAAAGAGCCCAGAGACTCAAGACAAACCCTGAGCAGCAGGGATGGGCCCTCATCTTTGGCTGCGTTCTGAGTTGAAGGGGCAGGGGCTGCAGAGTGCGTCTGTCTCTTTGCAGAAACAGGAGACCTGGGTTTGAGTGCAGGCCTTGCCACTTCTTAGCTGAGTGGGATGGGCAAGGCCTTGATGTCTCTGAGACTCAGTTTTCTCATCTGCAACATGGAAATAACTACACGCCTAACAGAAATACTTTCAAAAGCAAGTTAGGCTTACGCTGTAGCAGATTCAAAGTATCAGATAAGCTCTCTCCCACCATCCACCAAAAGACCATGCAGATGCCCCAAAAACACACCAACTGGCACTAGAATTGGAAAGTAAAGAGAAGAGATCATCATAGGCCCAAGTCCAGGGGACTTTCCATTAGCTGCAAGGCTGACGGGGGACGGATGGAGAAATACAATCCGGGGTTCTGCCACAGGGTGAGTGAGAACAGTCCAAACAGCCACAAAGAAGGCAGGACACGGCTGTGACTCATCCCCACTGTCAGCCCTAATTCTCCAGCCCAGCGGGAGCCACGCTGACCAGGAGATCAGATTGCCATTGTCAGCTGTCTGGGGACTGTCTTCCTCCTCAGCTGGAGGGGTGCCTTCCCTTTCCCACCTCTATTTTCCCAGCCCTTTCTCTGTCCTTTGAAAAGTTGGATTTCCTCAGGGTGACAGGCTTGAGGGCAGAGAGTCCAGCAAAGTGCCCCTGAGCCCTGGGATGGGGAGCTGCCCTGGGAAGAACCCCGTGGGCCAGGACAGAGCCAGGAAGGGCTGGGTGCAAAGCATGCTAGAGCAGCCTTCTCTCTGACACGCGGCCTAAGCGTCAAGCTTCCGGCCAAGGTGAAGGGCCAATAGCCAGACAGTCCACCTCTGTGTAGCACAGAGCCCTCGATGCCTGCTGCCTGACTCCCCAAAGTGGTTCCCAGCGCTCTCTATCCTCTTCCCTATATTCATCGGAACTGTCATTAAATATTTAATTGCATAATTAGTTATTTACTTTCTCTCCTTCTCCCAGACTGGAGGCTGTAGGAAGGCAGGGTGCACTTGGCCTGGCTCACTACTGTGTCTTTGGCACTCAACATAGGCCTTGGAATTTTAGGGGCTTGTTGAATGCAGCTAATGGGGAGAGTCCATTTGTGTCCTTTGGAAAGGAGTTTAGCAATGTATTCCAAGAGTTAAAAAAATGTTTAGGCCCTTGGTGTCACGTAGGATGCTTTTGGATGTCATAGAGAACCCTGACTCAGACTGGCTTAAGCAAAGTAAAATACATTATCCCACATATCGGGAAGGCCAGAGAAAGGGGGGCCCCCGGTTCTTTCTGTCTCTGTGCTGCGCCACCCTCATTAACACTGGCTTCATCCTAGGGCTGGGCCCTCCCTGAGGAGGGGGAGAGAGAGAGAGAAACCTCCACCTTTCTGGTAAACATGGAATCCAAATCTTTTTCCGAAGTTGGATTGGGCCAACTTTGTCACATGCTCGCTCTTGGACCAGTAAGGGTTACCAAGGTGAATGACACTCACTGACTAGCTTAAACTAATTAGGATGGGGTGGTACTAGGTAAAACCAGTGCTCTGTCAGGAAGCAGGGAGAGAGAACGGATGTTGGGGAAGCTACCAGCAGCATCCACACCGCGTTAAACCAGTCACTCTATTAATGGGAATCAATCCTGAGGAAATGAGCAGATAAAATCAGCGTAGGAAGATGTTTACTGCAGTTTTGTTTAAAAGACGGGAGGGAGATGGAGAGACAGATCGGACCTAAGAGGTAACCGTATTGAAATATTTAAGTCGATTATGCTACTTCCATACAATGTAATATTGTGGCGGCATCAAAACATTTATACAAAGTGTTAATGACATTGGGAAATGCTTGTGATAGAATGTTAAATGAAAAATACCAGGATATAAAATTGCATTTGCAGAATGAGCTCAATTGTTTTTAAAATGCATAGAAAACAGATTGGGAGGAAATAGGTTAAAATGCTTATAGCAGCCGCCTCTCAGTAGCGCAGTTAGGGGTGACTTTGACCTGCTTCTTTAGGCTTTTCCGTACCATCCTCTTCAAGCAGGAGGACCTCTTCCACAGCCCGCACAGGCTGGAGCCAGCTCTGTTCCCCCTCTACTTAGTGTTGGCTATGAAATAACAATCGCTACCACTTACTGCACATTTACTCTGTGCCTGACGCTGTGCTAGGCACTTTCGCATGCACTGATTCAATCTCTACATCACTCTGATGAGGTAAGTGCTTGTATTTCTTGTTTTGCTGAAGTGTTGACTGAAACCCCATGATGTTGGGTCACAGGGTCACACAGCAATTCAAGAGTGAGCCATTTGACGCCACAGCCTATGCCTTTACCACCAAGCAGTCACTGGGCAGGGTAGCCATGTGCTAATAAAAATGGTTCCATTTATTCAGCCAGGCTCTACACCCACTCTTGAATCCTCACAACCTCAGGGAGGCTTAGTGACTTGCTCAAGGTCACACCGCTAAGAAGTGGTGGCTGCTGTAGAGTGGCCTCGGTGTTTGATGTGGGACCCCTTTGTTTCTTCGTCTCTCCCACAGAGTTGCCTGAGGCCCTGCTGCCCCTCAGACCATGTTTAACGGGGAGCCGGGCCCGGCCTCGGCCGCAGGTTCCAGGAATGTGGTTCGGAGCTCCAGCATCAGCGGTGAAATCTGTGCATCTCAGCAGGCAGGGGGTGGGACCGGGACCACCACTGCCAAGAAGCGGCGTAGCAGCCTCGGCGCCAAGATGGTGGCCATTGTGGGCCTGACCCAGTGGAGCAAGAGCACACTCCAGCTCCCCCAGCCTGGTGAGGGGGTGCGGGACACCGGGGATGCGGTGGGTCACCTTTCACCTGGGAACTGTCCTCATGGATGTGTACGCCCATACCCACAGACACTAATGTAACACGTGCCATATACCAGGCGCTGTTCTGGGTCCAGTACATGTCCTGACTCATTGAATTCTCTTGTAACTCTATGAAGCAAGTACTGAAGCACAGAGAAGGGAAGTGAGTTGAATGCAGTAGGTGCATTCATCTAGGTCATAGCTAGTAGGTGGTGGAGCCTGCATTCAGACCCCAGCAGTCGGGCTTAAGAGTTCATGCTCCTAACCATGACCCTCTGCTGCCTCCAGGCACAAACATACACATTATTCAACAATTGTTTATCAAACAGCCATCATGCTCCTGGCCTGTGCTAAGTAACACAACTTCACCGACACACACATCCACAAGATTCGGTCTCACCAATAATCTCCAAGGTTCCTTAGTACTACAAAGAGCCACACAAATACATTACAAAGTCACAAGAGAGACATACACACACAAAGACACATGCCTTGCCTACTTATATAAATAGCATGCTCAGTTGCTTAGGCGAGCCGCTTCCCTACTTGCAAGAAAGGACAATATAGTTCTTCACACTGTACACGGTCACAAATAAGGCCAGTCCTGCAATTCACACAAGCACAGTCCTCTGATGCAGACAGACCCAGATCACAGAAGCACCGTGATCTGGTGCTTCTCTCTCCCTCACACACACATACACGCGCAATGGCCCATGGTCACAGAAGCATGTCACACATGCGTATGCACATACCTCACACAACCCCACAGTCACGCACCTTATTAGGTACGTCCTGACTAATATATTATACTTCCTCAGACCTCTAGTTATGGAATCCCGGTTGTGCTCCGAGTGATGGGTGACCTGCCTTGTCACACACCATCACACCTGGACCCCGCACCACAGAGGAGCCAGTCCCCCACCCCCCCACCAAGACCTCCTCACTGTGGCATCAGCCCAGACACCAGCTGGTTGTGTATTAAAATCTCTTCCTGCTTGTTTTGCTCAGAGTAACAACTTCCCCAAGAAGCCTTCAAATAGGCAGCTGGATGGGGGTGGTGAGGGGGCGGGGGTGCCAGAGGATCTGGGGAGAATGCTCATCAAGAGTCCCAGTTGGGGCTGGGGGTGGGGGACTTTTCCAGGCCTTAAAATAGCTTTTTACAAAGCCCTCCACAGGAGCACGTGGGATGGTCTTTTCCAGCACTCGAGCCGCAGTGTGCTTCCTGGCTCGGGGAAATGCTAAAGGAGGAGAGGGCTGCAGTCACCGGCGCCCCGGGTGGGCATGGCCCCTGTGAACACGCAGTGTGGGCCTGATGTGAAGGAGTCAGGAAGATGGGGGCCTGGGGATCCAGGAGGTGGGCAGGGACAGGACCATGGGCGGGGTTCAGGTTAGGGGGTCGAAGAGGTGCTGGGTCCCAGGAGCCTGGCCTCAGGAGACCAAGCCCCGCCGACCTTGTGCTGAGTCAGCTTCAGACCCAGTGGCTTTTTCGTGTCCAAAGGGATTTGGAGGACCAGTTTTTCAAGGCCAGGGCAGGGGCCCCGTCACTGGGAGGTGTTCCCGTGGTCCTCCTGAGGCTGTCCGCCTCCCCGCACCACCAGGCAGCAGGCAGGGGGCGGGACGGACACCAGGGAGGCCTCCAGCCTCAAGGGCGATGAGTGAGGACGGGGCCTGTGGGTCACTTGTCTCTGTGGTGTGCGAGGGCGGGCTGCAGGCCCGGGGCCTGAGCCAGAGGGGTTACATGGATTCCCTTCCCGCTGAAGGTCCCTATGAATCATCCGATCACCATCTGTCAGAGCGGAAGGACCCCTTGAGATCATCTAGTCCGATATGCTCATTTTATTGATGAAGCATCTGAGCCTGAAGAGGGGAAGGCATTTCCCGAAAAACAACTTCAAGGTGGTCTTTAGAGCCACGCCCTGTCGTTTACTAGCTGGGTAACTCAGGCAAGTCTCTTCACCTACCTGAGCTCACCCTCCCATTTGTAGATTAAGGACAATAACCCGTACCTTGCAGAGTTGTCCAGGGCATTAAATGACACAGGAGGTGCAAAGGCACAGAGTAGGCACTTGGTATGAGGTTGGCGTTATTGTTATTACCCGCGGTCAAACAGTAGGGCCCCAAAATAAGAGTTCTCTGGCCCTCACAGCTCTGCCCCTTGCTTGCAGCGTACCCCTCCCCCAGCTATAATTCCTTGTCCCCATTTTTTCTCCAAGCCTTGAAGTTGCCACTGCCCCAGCTTGGAACCCCATCCTGGATGGGACAGTCCAGCTCCAGAGGGAGATATGGGGATGGCTCAACCTGGGAACGGGCCCTGGAAACTCTTCTGGGAAAAGATCCCAGGAGGGTATTCCCAGTTGTCCCCAGGTGGGATGGCCCAGTTCCCTACAGGGCTGGGCTGTGTGAAGTGGCAAGGGACCCCTCTCCTGGACCCAGTCTTCTGGGCTCTGGGTCTGCCTTCCCAGGGGCCTCCTCCCTCCCAGTTTATCCCTACTCTGCATTGGCTTGAGCTCCGCCCATCCCCTCCTCTTTGTTTCAAGGCCTGGACTATCACGTGAGCCTCCCCTCTGGTTCCCCTGCCTCCTGCATACCCCTTCACATTGCCCTAACGTGGCTTCCAAAAACTGACCTTGGCGCCAACTCCTCATGGGACCTTGGGAAAGTGACTTTCCCTTGGAGCCTGTTTCCTCTGGAAAATGGAGCTAAAAAGACTCCTAGCTTTCTTCTAGGTCTAAAATTCTCCAAGTTGTGGAAGCAGTGAGGAGGGTGGGGTAAGAATTTTAGAGTCCCAGGACACATGTGGGTTCTGGTCTAGCCTTAGACTGAGTCCACACAAGGCCATTCTGGGCTGTCCCAACCCCTGGCCAAATGGAGCTCCTCTTTTCAGCACCAAGGACAGCAGCCCTCCCTCCGGGACTCGGACTCGAGGCTCTGGGCTCTGGGGTCAGGTGGGAAAGAGAGCTTAGCATCATTTCAGGAGATGCACTGGGGAGTGCTGTTGGGAGCTGTAACTGCCTCTCCCTTGTATACGCTGAGACAGATGGGATGGTTCCTGGAGTCTCTTGGTCTCCAGGGACCTCGCAATTATTGCAAGCTACTTGGCCAGGTTCTCTGGAAAAAGGCTCCCTAAAGTTATTCCCCACATCATCAGAGTTCAGAGACTGGACGGGTATAGAACAGTAGAGGAATTTTCTCTAAGGCTGCAAGACCTTTCTCCCCACACAGAAGACGTGGAACTGAACCTCTGCTGAATCACCTCTCAAACCAATGTGGAGCTGGTGGAGAAGAGTGAGGAGTAGTGCATCAGTAGACTGGCAGTCAGCCTGGGCCTTCTGGATGCCCGGACCTCAGTCTCCCCATCTGTGAAATGGCAGGGGCAGGGGGCTAGCTGGGGTGTCTCTAACATTTCAGGAGTCTGTCATTCCCCTACCTGGGGGTCACAGTGGATTGGGCAGGTCTGATCAAAGATGGTAAATTTTCTCCCAAATGGGTCAAGCTTTCCCAGTCTCTGGAAGGAAGGGACTGGGGTCATGTGGTAAGGCTCTGACCCCAGCTCAGGATGTGTGTTGGGGGGGATTTGAAGGGAGGGAGGGTGAAGCACAACGCCCAAGGACCTACCTGCCTTCTAACCGGCCATTGGCAGTTAGGAGCCAGGGACAAGGCGAGTCCCTTGACACCCGCCATTCTGGCACAGCCCTCGGTGTGTGGTGAGTCACACGCTGTTTGTGAGTTTGAATTTATGTGTGTGACAGTGGATAGGTTCAACCGCAAGTGTTAACCTTGTCGGTGTGAAGATCACACTTACGTGGCAGAGTATGTCATGTGTACATATGATTAAGACCTGGCAGGACCATTTATTACTCTTGTACGAACATACACATGACCTTGTATGTGAGATCACTGTCTTCCTAAATAATTGTCAGCACTTGTGTGTGTCTGCTTATGCCTGTCAATATGAAAGAAGTGCGAATGAGCTAATGTGACTGTGTATGAAAGACAGAGAGAGACACACACACACACATTCCTGGATAGTTAGCTATTCCAATATCCCAGAAACTGGGATGGTTTCAAAGACAACATTCCTCCTCACCACCTCCCACGTCCAGCCCCCCATTCTGTCTGCACGAGGAATAAAGTCCCCCCTTTCCAGGGCCAGGGCCTTGGATAGCCAGCTCCCCCTCCCCACTGCTTTTGGGGGCGCCGCACTGCCTGTCCCACCCCCGGCCTATCCCCATCCCTATAGGTAACTTTACTCTTAATTTACCTGGATCCCTCACCAGCGATAGCAAATGGCTCCTTTGGGACCGTCCCTATCTAAGCACCGCTTCTCTCCCCACCAAGCTCCTCAGGCAGCCAAGCCTCAGCAGGGGAACCCTGTAAACCCTCGACCCATCTTCCATGCCCCCCGCCCCTGCCCCAGGAGGAGAGGGTGTCTAGAGGGACCACACTGCAATGCTGAGGAGGTTGCCATGGAAACTCAGGCAGGATGGTACGGTGCTAGGAGAGGGAAAGTGCCCCATGTTCCCTGCAAGGCTGAGCATGGGGCAGGGGAGAGGCAGAGGGCCCCGTGAACAGGGGACACCTCAGAGACCCGGGCTGGACCCCTCATTGCACAGTGTCCAGGGTACGTCTATAGACCTCTCACTCAAAGATGAAGTCAATTCGGGCCAACCCAGCTGCCCTCTCTGCCTTGTTTCTTTAATCGCCTTTTGTTAGTTTGAGAGTGGCCAGGCTTCATATGTGGCTTTTTTAGGGTCTGTGAAGCTGTCAGGTGGACTGTGAGACCTGAGCGAGATAAGGTGTGTGAGGGAGCACAAATGCGGCAAAAGGCAAACTTTCCAGAAGAGAGAGGTAGGAGTAGAGCCTTTCGGAGCAAGGGCTGAAATCAAGTGAGAAGGTAGCTGTCAGGGCTGGGGCTGAGGCTAAGGGCTGATGGCTGCAGGCAGGGACTCCACTCGGTGACTCCACACGGCCACCCCCCATCCCCACCATCCTGACCTTGCCTCCAGCCTCCTTTCTAGTCTGCTCCGGCTGTGTCACTTCCCTGAGCAGGGCCAGGGGCCAAGCTGCAAACCAGCTCCAGAGGTCATCTCAGCATCGCCCCTGCCCCCAGGCACAGCCCTGCCCATCACACCCCCTCCCCAGGAGGGTGACTTCGGGTGTGCTCCCAGAGAACCGCATAGGTGATCTGACCTTGTTCCCTTTCTGTGCTTCACGGGGGTCACAGAAGGGGCCACCAAGAAGCTGCGCAGCAACATCCGGCGGAGCACAGAGACGGGCATCGCCGTGGAGATGCGGAGCCGGGTCACACGCCAGGGCAGCCGGGAGTCTACCGACGGGAGCACCAACAGCAACAGCTCGGATGGCACGTGCGTGCAGCCCACCCCACCGTGGTCCTCACCCCCCTCCCGGGTCCTCTAGGCACAGAGCCAGGGGCAGGGTGGGAAAATCTCCAGCTGGATTTTCAGGCCAGATGTCCGGGTCCCTCTGTCCCTGCATTCCTCCACCCCCCCACCCCCGACGGCACATGCCTGGGCCCCCATCTTCCTATTGCTCCAGGCTGCTGTTTTCCATCCGAATACCCCAGGGGCCCAGGAGCCATTCGTCCCTTCTGTTTATTTTCATGCCTCCTGCCTCCCAGCACCTGCACACTCTCTCGCTCGAGCAGAGAGGGCTCAAAAGGAAGATGTGATTGGAAAATCCTTTAAATCTAAAACCATTGTTATGGCTCAGATAAGTGGAATTCTCACAAGCGGCCTTGCTTGGAGCTTAGGGAAGGAGATTGGACTGGAGCTGTGTTCCTCAAACTGACTGGTGGCTTATAAGCAGGACGTAAAATTAGTGTAGTGGGGTGAGCCCGCGTTAGAAAAAGAAAGAGAAATGTAATTGTATCTTAAGAAGCAAGGATGAATTACATTGTGAACTTTTAGTTTTGTTTGTTTTTTAACACATAGGTACACATAGGTCTATGACATACATTTCTTACATTTGCATGTGGGTTGCAGCCAAAGATTTTAAAGTCCCTCAGATCTCTTCTACATTATGAAACTATGGTTATACAACTAAGATTTTCTGATTTGGCCTCACTAAGATGCAATGATTTCAGGATTCTTTAGCTGTGTTATTTAAGATTCTAGGATCACGTGTCTCACCACTATGCCTACATCTGTGCATGCAAGTAGCCACTAGCATTCGTTTTGTCTTACTATATATGCCAGGTATCACCGGGCACCTCAGATCAGTGCTTATTGTTCTGGGATCTCCTAACAACTCTCAGACCAAAAACAGCCTCATTTAACACTCACAACAATCCTGAGGGATGTCAGTTCTACCTACAAAGCTGAGACAGAAGACGAGGGTGAGGTACCCAACCCAAGGTCACGGCTCTTAAGTGGTGATGGAGTCAGGATTTGCATTAAGGCCATTTGACTTTATGACCTTTGTTCACAATCCCTACACTCCCTATACCAAGCTCCTGAAATTCTTTGACCTCCAGAGTACATTTCTTTCTTTAACCTTCTCAGAGCCTGTTGTCCTAAGGATGCGACATGAGGCCACGCTGACTGTGGCCAGTAAGAGTAGGTGAGCCTCAAAGCCCCTTCCTGGGGAGTGGGGGAGAGGCGCACAGGCCGTCTCTGACAAGCATTTGCAGTCTGTCTCCCGTCCCTGCCTGTCACTGGCCAACAGGGACTCGAGGCCAAGCTGTCCAAGAGGGACTTTATTCCAGGACAACCTTTGATCTCTCTAGCCAGCAGCCAGAACTGTTTCAGATCTTCGGGTTTTCCTTGGCCCACTGTAGCCCATGGGTAGACCTGGGCCAGCCGTCCCTCGCCTGTCTTCTCTCTGATGGCCCACCCAGGACACCTAGGCTTGAGGACGTGAACAGGTAGCACTTCCCCTCAATGATAACAATGGCAACGATAACTACCATATATTTTGTTTGTCTGAAACTTTTCATGCACCACCTGTCCTAATTCTCACCATGAGACTACCTGAGTTGGACATGACCTCTGTTTTGTGGGCAAGTCTCTAGCATCTTGAAGCCTCTGTTTTCTCATTTGTAAAACTGGATAATAGTTCCTGCCACACAGAGTCATTTTAAGGGTTAAATTATATGATGCATGAAGAGCATTTAGTGCTATTGGCACCCGGCCAACTTTCCAGGACTGTCAGTTTTCCTTGTTACTATTTCTAGGCCCCCTACAACCATGGTACCTCATTACTCATCATGTTATTTTGGACTCAGTCGCTGTTTTGGGCACCACCTCATGTTATTGACTTAATTAAAACTGAGGGTCAACTCAACCTCAGTTCTTGAAACTTGCTTCAGGCATTTCATTTCTGTCATGTCTCTGGTTCTTGGCATTCACACCTCCTGGTGAGGACACAGGTGTTCAGCAAGGCCTGCCTTTTAAGAGTCACCTGTGAGCCCTGCCCAGTATGGCTCAATTGGTTGGGCATCATCCTGCAAAGCAAACGGTCTCCAGTTCAATTCCCAGTCATTGGTCCCTGGTTGGGGCGTGTATGAAAGGCAACTAATCTCCCAATCAGTGTTTCTCTCTCACATCGATGTTTCTCTCGCTCTCTTTCTCCCATCCCCCCCCTCAAAAAATAAATAAAGAAAATCTTTTTTTTAAAAATGTCACCTATCATTCTATTAGGTTCATTAGTCTCTATTCTCAGGTGACATCAAAGTATTTTCTTTAACATACAGAGATAGACAGCTCTCTCTGTCCCCAAGGTAGTACACTCACACTATGCAGAGGAGAGATCAAGGCACGGAGGAGAGTGCCCAGCGCCCCAGAGGCAAAGCCACTGCGTCCCACCAGCCAGATGCCCTCATGTGCCCCTCTGCCTTCTTCCCAGGTTCATCTTCCCCACCACCCGGCTTGGGGCCGAAAGCCAGTTCAGCGATTTCCTGGATGGGCTGGGACCAGCGCAGATTGTGGGGCGACAGACACTGGCAACTCCACCAATGGGTGAGTCTTCTTGAGGGTAGGGCAAGTGGGGTGATGGCGGCCACCCAGCGGGATGGGTGGGCTCAGTGGGGGCCCTGCATGACCCAAGCAGCAGAAAGGAGCCCTCACTCAGACTCCTGAGAAGGAGTGAGCCTGGCACTCGGGGATCCCTCGCTCTTCGGAGGCAGAACACTGTGCCACAGATTTGCAGCAGTCCCCTCCCTCACTTTGTCACTCTGCGGCCAGCACTCCACGTGCTGGACGTAAAACGGTGAACAGAACCGCCATGACATTGACTGCTATGGAGTCTGTGCTATCACCAGTTCTCTGGGTGGCCTTGGGGAAGTCCCTTCATTGAGGCTATGTCCTCATCTGTAAAATGGGAATAAAAATACCTGCCTTCATTCTGCAGTCTATCCACAGTTTACTGAGTTTTTGTTTGTTTATTTTGGTGCTTTACGTGAAGTATTTCATTGACTCCTTAGGAACTGTGTCTTACTTGATTTGTTCATCCTAACAGCATCTGGCACCTAGAAGCCTTTTAGTAATTTCCTCATCCCCCATTCCTGTAGCCAGGAAGTACTTCCCAAAGTCTGCCCTTGGTCATCGTAGCTGCAGTTCTGGCTCCCTCCTCTTTCTCCCTTAGATATTGATGTGTTGGCTTCAAGCAGCCCCTCCCAGGCCTCACTTCCCCAGAGATGCCGCCTCACTTCCACCCTCTTCCCCATTAGCCTGACTTAAGCAGCGTCTGACCCAGGCATTTGCACTGACCGCACAGCAAATGTGCAGACAGTGCCCTGCTGTGAGCCATACCGTAAGCGGGGATTTCATTCCAAGCCAGGACGCGTCCCACTGTACTGCCCTGTCTCTCTCGATGTGCTCACACAGGAGCCTCTGTCGGCTGGGAGAGGGGTCCATGGAGACCCTTAGAGGGTGAGCACCAGCTCTCATCTGGCTCAGGGGTTGGCTAATTGTCAGTCTTTGCTTTCAGGCTCTTAAGGGGCTGGGGAGTCTGCTTTTCTCAGCCCTTGGGCCAGGCAGTGAGAGGAGTCAGCCACTTCCATAAGCCAAATGCGCCATCACAGCCTAGAACTGTGTGTGTGGTGCCCTCTGGTGTCCCAAACTGAAAATGACAGGCTTCTGTTTGCCCGCCTTTGGGGTGTTACAGTGAGACAGGGAGATCAATTCCTGAAATATCTCCCTCCCACTTCCCCGTGGGGAGGTAAGGGGTAGTCAGAGGAAGGGGGATGAATTCAGGAATGGCATTGTTTGTACTTGCATCTTCCCAAGTGTCCAAATACAAACAATAGCATAATGGCTCACAGAATCTAAAATGGGTGGCTGAACCCACAGTCTGGCCTGTTTTAATTTTTCTGCACCAGGCATATGAGTCTGCACTCCTTTGAAGGATGTTCCAAGTGACTAATGCGTAATTTCAAATTCCAGCAGAATTTGAACAAAGCTAAGAGTTCTAGAAATCAGACAGCTGACAAGACTCCACGCACAGAACTTGCCACAGCTGGATAATCCATTTTGTGGAGCACAGTGAGGAGTTCTTAGTCTTCTGCTCCCAGGAAATCTGCCGGCCTTCCCCCTCCTCCTCTGGCAAGGATGCAAGCAGGTCCCTGCTCCCAGGGAGCGCTGCACGGCCTGGGCAGCCTTCTATCTCAGCATCTCTCCAAGCTGATATTCTTTGTTTATTTGTTTATTTGTTTGGCGTGTATTTAGGGGAGTGGCGGAGGCCTGCTGTGGAGAAGCTGAATGAGCGCCACTGCGCCCACAGCCTCCCTCTGTCTTCCTGACACCGGAAGCTCTGTCCCCACACTTTCCTATTCTGCTCTATAAAACAGAAGCCCTTTGGTTAACCGAACTTAGATGGGGGTTGGCAGCCGCATTTGATCCCCAAGCATGTCCCTTGAGGGTCATACCCCTGCCCCACCCCAAGGGACCTCTTAGAGTTAGAGCACCCCTCGGCTGCTTTACAGCGGTCTCCAGGGGCCAGTTCTCACCCGCGCAGTTTTCTTCACCTTGTGCCCTTTCCAGGGTTGTGGCGTCCTCTGCCGACTGGCATTCTGCACAGCGGCTGGCTACTCTGCCCTGGTCTGGCTCTGCCTGGACTGTCCCTCTTCTCCCTTGCAGGGGACGTGCATATTGCCATCATGGACCGGACTGGCCAGCTGGAGGTGGAAGTGATCGAGGCTCGGGGCCTGACCCCCAAACCTGGTTCCAAATCCCTCCCAGGTGAGGCTGAGCAGCCGGGAGAAGGATTTTGGAAGTGGAGTCCTGCCAGGGAGGAGTATGCATCCGAGCTCTAGGCCTAATGGGTCCTCAGTTCCCCTGCTGGCCTAAATCGGCCTTCTCCACCCTGCAGCCACGGCTCGCCCGGAAGGCCAGTGAGGAGGGGGCAGGAGAGGACGGAGGAGTCAGTGTTTGAGTCAGTCTCTTTGACCTTCTGTCCACTGATCAGCTCGCCCTACTCACCCTGCTCACCGCCAGGGCCGCCTGGCGATTGGGGATGGGGTGGGCGCAGCAGCCTCTCCTGGACCCCTCCCCACCCTGTTTTCTCCCATCTTCAGCCACCTATATCAAGGTTTACCTGCTTGAGAATGGGGCCTGCTTGGCCAAGAAGAAGACAAAGGTGGCCAAGAAGAGCTGTGACCCTCGGTACCAGCAGGCTCTGCTCTTTGACGAGGGGCCCCAGGGCAAGGTGCTGCAGGTGAGTGTGACAGGGCAGCTCTCAAGGCTGCAAGTCACAACTTGAAATTTGTTCCATGCATGATTCATCCTGTGCCAGGCACTGATGCCAGGGGCATCGCTACACATTGGCCACTTATTTTCACAACCCAGTAAGGTGTCATTGCCCCCGGTTGATTCATAAGGACACCACGGTTTGGAGGGTAATTCAACTGTCCCTGCTTCCACCTGGTGCTGGTGTTCATTGTGTGTCGGCTCCACACCAGGCTCGATGTTAACCGCTTTCCAGCTGTGACCTTGCCTCGCCCTCGAGATGATCCTGTGAAGCTGGTATGAGTCTCTCCATTTTACAAATGAGGAAACAGTTTCAGAAAGGTGAAGTGACTTGCATGAGGTTTTCAGCTAGGGCCTTGCTGAGTCGCACCGAGCCCAGGTCAGGATAACTCTCACCCCGACTATGTAGGAAGGGCAAACCCTTCACGACGGTCCTGGGAGGAAGGGAAGGAACATCACGCCTGTTCCTAAATGAAGTGACCAAGGCATTCAAGAGGTTACATGGGGGTAGAGCACAAGGGCGGTGGGTCTCTGGGTTCAGTCCTGGGTTCAAGTTCTAGCTTGATGGTTTATTAGCTGTACTATTCTGTGAATATTAAATGAGAGATGCCTATAGAGGGCCTCCCATAGCGCCTGGCATGCAGACAGCTACTCGCTGACCCTTAGCGGTGGTGGTGGTGGCCACGTAGGTAGCAGAGCTAAGCTAGAGCCAGGGTTGTGGGACGTCTTATCTATGGCTATTGCTCTGGGCTGAGTGGTTCTATAGGAAGGGCGCTTGGAGTTGCAGACAGTGAGAACTGATGAGCCCTTTTCTGTGGGGGAAAGTTTGGTCTTGGTTGTTTGTTTTTATATATATTGGGATTCCATTTTGAAAACATGAATTTACCAATAAAAATACAGCTTCAAAAATCATGGAGCTAATCCATTCCCCCCTCCCACTTTCATGGATGGATAGGAACACTGAGGTCCAGTGAGGGCGAGGGGCTTGCCAGGCCCCTCTGTGAGGCGGGGAGAGCAGGAGCTGTGGCCGGGTCCCGGAGTCGCGGCATGCTCCTTCCTGGGGAAGGCTGTCATCGGGGATGCTGGGAGGCTCCAGAAGTCAGACCCACCAGGGTACGTTCCCAGCTCTGCCACCAAATACTGTGTATCTTTGGATTAGTTAATTAACCTCTCTGAGCAGCAGTTTCCTCTTTGTGGAAATATACACAGTACCTCTACCCGGACAGTTGCAACAATCGAGATGCTATTCAGACAAAGTCTGTAAGTTGCAACCTGGCACTTCTTAAGTGGGCAGTTGTTGCTTGAAATCAGCCTGAGGTTCCACTCTCTCTGCCCCATCTGTGCCCTGGTGAGAGGTGCAGGTCCCGGGCCCACTGCCCAGCCCGGGAGTCGGGGAGGTGGCTCAGCTCCTCTCTCTTCCTCCCCACTGGTAGGTGATCGTCTGGGGAGACTACGGCCGCATGGACCACAAGTGCTTCATGGGCATGGCCCAGATCATGCTGGACGAGCTGGACCTGAGTGCCGCCGTCACCGGCTGGTACAAACTCTTCCCCACATCCTCCGTGGCAGACTCTACACTCGGATCCCTCACCAGGCGCCTATCCCAGTCCTCCCTGGAGAGTGCCACCAGCCCCTCATGCTCCTAAGGACCTCAGGGAGAGGCTGGGATGCGGTGTGGGGAGGGGTGCCTGCTGGCCCCCCCTCCCCTGTACATAGTCTTCACGTCGTTCTGGTCCCCTCGCCCTGCTGCATGTCTGGTGGCTACTGGGCCCATCCCAGCTGGCAGTGGAGAGTGTAGTGTGTGTGCGTGTGTGTTTGTGTGCATCTGTGTGTGTCTGTGTGTGGCCACGTTATATCCATTCATTTGTCTGTATAGAGTCCGTCTTGGTGACTACATGGGCTAAAATCTATGTTATCCTGTATCTTGTTGAAAGAAATCCCAAATGAGTGTTGTGTGAACGTGACTCCCCCTCAGGCCAGGGATGGAAGAGGGGGACGTGGCCACTGGTCCACCCTGCCTAGTCCTGTGCCCGGGGCAGAGCCCACCTGCCCCTGCCTGTGCCTCTTGGTGGTCCCTGCTGAGTTTTCTGTCTTGTTCTTTGTTCCACCTTTGCCTCTCCCAGCACTGCTGCTTTTTTTTGAGGAATGTAGCACCCACTGCAGCTGGCCACACTGAGGCCCCTCTGGGAACCGTGACACCTCTCCACCCCCCCCACCCCAGCGCTCTGGCAGCTTTTCCCGCCGAATGCACCTGCAGCATGTAGCATGCTCGTCCAGTGCCCTGGCCAGGGCCCGGGCTGCAGAGATGCCTGGGGAGCTGAGGGCTTGGAGATTGCGTCCTCCCTCGGGCTGGAGCCCCCTCTTTCCTACGAGCGAAACTCGAGGGGGTCTTAGTTCCCACGGTTGCTGGCCAGATACTGCGGAGGGAAGTTCTGCGACCTCCCTTAGCCCTGCCCTTCAGCCCTTACGTCCCTCCGTCCCTCCGAGCCGGCTCGCCTCCGACAAGCCGAAGGAGCTCTCCCAGGGGGCCCCAGGAGGTGTGGGCGGAGGGCCTTGACACCCAGGAGGCGGGTACTCTGCCAAAGCAGACCATCCTCCCCAGGCTCTGAGGGTGGCCCTGGGGAAGACAGTCTGCTGAGGTGGCGCCCAGCCTGCGAGGAGGTACCGAGGGGGCACTGTTTGCTGGGATAAGAAGGGCGGGGCCTGACTGGCCCTGAGCCACTGCTGAGAATCCTGTCTGACTTGTGGGGATTAGCTGCCTGAAGTTAATCGTTTGGGGCTCTACTTTTTGTTCATGTCTAGACCAGGGTCCCTGTCTGGGAGACTCGTGTGGGCCCCAGCGTCCTGGCTCCGCGGACAGGCCGGCTCTGGACTCTACTGCCACAGTCACCAGCTCTGTACAAGCAATACTCACCCCTCTGGCCTCCCTGTCTCCTTGCGCTCTGCCACTGCCCCCTGGAGAGCGGCCTGGCCGGCTCTGGGCACCTGCCCCGCCCCTGCTTCCATTCCACCCATCTGGTTGGAGCCTCCCAGAGCCGCTCAGGCTCTGACTTGATCTGACAGCTGGGCCCTGTATGCGGGGGCCAGTGCCTGGACTGGACCTTGTGAGATGTCGCTGGGAATCCTGAAGTCTGGCTTAGGAATGTTTAAACCTGTCCCTTTCCCTCCTTGGGTCTAGGGTGAAAGGTGAGAAGTGGCCCAGGAGATGGACATAGCTGCCCTTGGGTCCATGTCTGGGGGAGAAAAGAGGTGGCCAGAGGGGTCGCGGTGTGGGGCCTGCTCTGTCTGTCTCCCCCCGATGTCATCCCCAATGCTGCCGTGACTAACCAGGTACCCCAGCCTGGGGAGCCACCCAGGGAACAGTGCGGAGTCTCAGAGCCCGAGCGCTTGGACTCCTTCTGGGACCAAAGCAGGACAGGCCCGGAGGTGGATTGCGAGGGCGGGGCGGGGGCGGAGGCCTCTGGAGCTACAGCCAGCACCGCGGAAGGGCCTCCTTTTGGGATGGTATCCACGTTAGGCTGAAGCCAGAGCCCAGTATCTTTCCTCCCAAAACACAAGGGAAAGAAACCAGGACCCTGTCGGCCCTGCCCACAGGCCAAGAGTAGGTAATAGAGTGAGCTCCTGGGCTTCTGTCCCCTGCCCCAGCCTCCATTCTTACATCAAAGACAGAAGCGCTGTGTGCATGGGAGAGGAGGAGGAGGCCGTGGGGGCTCATTTTCTCTTTCTGCAGAAATTCTCTCCCATTGTTGCGACTGGCTAATGTGTGCGTTTCTCATGTTTCTCAAATGAAGCAAAGGGCTCTGTGCTCTTGGATCATAGGGTGTGGAGAGGGAGGAAACTGATGCAGAGAAGGGTATTTTTATGTCCTGGCTGTGGTGTGTTCACCTCCAGAGCAGTCACCCTCAGGATGGTGGGATTATGTGATAGTATAGACATCTGCTGAATGAACACCGGATGGTGATCCATGGAGCCGCACCCAGAGAGTGGGGGAGTATCACCCTCATTCCTCAAGGGGCCCAGAAAGGCCAGGAGAGGGGGCGGGAGCTGCCAGCAAAGAGGCTGCCACTGGGTAGCTGAAGGCCCCCAGCTGGAGTCCGGAGCCCAGAGCCTCTGGGGAGGGTAGGTCAGCACAGGGGAGGTTCCAGGCAGAGGCGGGGCCTGTTGCATCGGTTGGTAACTGGGTCTGAGCTACTTACAGTCCCAGCTGCCAGGACTGCCCCGGGGGCTGGGCAACTCCATAGTTCCACCTCTAATGGGAAGTAATTTCCCCACAAGTTGACCTTGGGAATTACTCTTTTTAGCCTTTTGTACCAAATAAGTGACTAATCCCCACCTGAATTTTCCTCCATGAAGGTGAAGTGATGTGAGGCCGATGTTTGAGTGTGGTGGTGACTGGCTGGATGTAAGGGTCTGTTCCTCGGCGTCCTGGATGCAGGGTGCTTGTCTGCTCTATGCTAGCCTGTCCCAGGAGAGGAGGGAGCTCATGCCACTCCTAGCCATCCCTGGGGCGGGGAGCATCTCTCCTTTGAGGAGGGGATGGTGGGGAAAGAAGCGACATGACCCCGCAGAGTTCTCCCTAACCTGGGACCAACTCACTGCCAGGTATAGTATCTGGTCCAAATGTCCCCTTAGCCCAGGTGAAACCGGAACTGATTACAGACTGTGGCTCTGTCATTCCACCTTCCTCTGCTCGGGCAGGATTCATGGAAGATGTGGCAGAGACAGAAATGGCCCTGCAGCAATGCTGGGCTGTGGGCAGGCCCCGTGACGAATGATTCAGAGCATCTGTCTTCACATTTCTTCTCTGTTCAATCTGCCCCACTTCCTTCATAGACTGCTTCCCTACAGGGAAGTCTGTGATAGGCCTTCAGTATGAATCAGGCTCCACTAAATGGGCCAAGTCTCGGTTTGACAAGAGGGATGTGATCCTTCAGGGAGGAACCACCTCCAAAACTGCTCCCCATGCAGTCTCCTCCACCCCCCAGCTCTCCTAGGGAAGGACCACCTTGAGGCTCTCCGTGTGCGGCAAGTCCCCGGCAGGGCCAGGACTGGCCGAGGCGGAACCTAGGAGCTCCCGAGAGAGGGTGCCCGTGCAGCTCCTCACTCGGGGGATCACTGCCCCTTAGGGCGCTGAGGTCCAGCCTGTTCTCCCAGGGGCATGGCGCCCACCAGGACAAGCATGCCTAAGCTCTCCTTTACTGCCAGCCTTGAGGAGAGCACAAGCGCCCCCTTTTAAAGACAATAGAACGTTCCAAGAGTACTTCTTTGGAAATAAAATGTAGCACAATCTTAGACTGCATTACAGGAGCCCAACCAGGGCTCTCGCTCTTCGCCCCTCCACCCAGGAGACCCGCGCTCCTCCCCTGGGGCCTCCAGAGCCCCTAATACCTCTGATCTCCCACCTTCCTCAGCCCAGAAAGTAGCCGGGCTTCAGTAAGGCTGCCGTTCTGTTTCTCTTATTGCTTCCTGCACTGTGCAAACTCTGCAAAAATTTGCTGCCTTTGATATTGTAATGAGTTGTCTTTCACCTGGGTGGAGAGAGATGGCACATCATTCAAGGCCAGGGGGTGGTCCTCCAGTATTTCTGCAGCGGCTGCAAGATGGGAAAGAAGAGGCCCGCTGCCCTGCCCACCCCTACCTTCCTCTTCCCCTCCTCAGTGTTTTCTTCTCCTCTATCCTGACACGTAAAGAGGGTCTTTAAAAATGCTGCTTCCTGTACTGCATTATCTTTCACGGGATGATCAGGGAGGAGATGGGAAGGTGGGCTCGTGCCCCACCCCCCACCTTCTCCCTCACGTCTGCTTTCACTCAGGTCAGAGGAGACTGGGGCAAAACAAAGCAATCCTGATTGAAGGGCAGGGGAGCTGGACTGACCTGGTCTGGCTGGGAAAGAGTTATTCTGAAAGCGTGCCTGAGCATCTCAGAGCAATGTCAGTGATGCCAAAGAGAGCAACTTGGCCTCCTTGGGCACCAGCTCCGCGTTGGCCTGCCTGAGGGTAGGACCTTGTTCTCTGACAAAGGGCTTAATCTTTCCATGTAGCAAAGCAACTCCCCCTCCCCCCCAACCCTGAGCTCGGGCTTTTGTGGGCCCAGCGTGGCTGTGCCTGTGAGGGAAACCACACCAGAGAGAAATTGGCATTCTCTCAGGGGCCTAGGCTGGCCGGGGGTGAGTTCTCATTGAAAAGCATAAGTGCTTTGGCAAAACCTTCCAGTGCTCTGGTTGGCAACTTAGCCAGTGAGGACAGGGGTCTTGGGCTTCCCAAGGAGTTCACCCCAATGCCAGGAAGGGCCCCTGGGACTGGATTCCAGAGAGCCTGGCTAACAGAAATGAGCCCTGGGAATTCCAAGGGCAACAGAGCATCCACCCCATTGGTCAAAGGCCTGGACAGCTGGCGATGGACCATCAAAGGCTGTTGTATAAAGTTTGCCAGAAACAGTGACCATGTGCAAGACTCCTCACTTTTCTGCCTCTGCTTTCTCAGCTGCAAAGTCAGAGCATTTTCTAGTTGTCCCATGGTTCCCTCCAGGTTTTAAAAGTCTGATCTGGAGCTGATGAGGGTTGTGAGCCTGGTGCACCTGGCACCTGGTTCCATGGGCTGGTTTCTTCTAGCCCTGGGTGCCCAAGCTGGGTGCAGGTCCTCATCCG